AGAAAAAATGAGCATGTTAAGTAGAAACATGGATGATATGAAAAGACCCAAATTGAAGTTTTAGAAATTAAACTTAAAATATCTGAGACGTAAAACACACTGCATAGGATTAGTAGAAAATGAAATAGTGAAGAAGAAAAGATTATTTAACTTGAAGACATAAAAATAGAAATTAACCAAAAAGCAACATGCAGAGAAAGTATTGAAAAGAAATAAACGAGTATCAGTGATGCATGGAACAATTTAAAAGTCCTAATATATGCATCATTTTAGGCCCCAAAGGAGAGGCTGGAGAGGTGGTCCTAGAAAATGTTCTTTAAGAAATAATTTCTGAAATTTTTAAAGTTTGATTTTCCCAAACTATGTACCCATAGATCCAAAAGGCTTAATGAATCCCAGGCATAAGAAACATGAAAAAAATTATACCAAGGCACATAAAAAAATTGCTTAAAACTAGTAATAAAAGAAAAAATCTAAAAGTGGTCAGAATGAAAGACATTACATAATAGAGGAAAAATCATAACAATAAGAGACTTCTTGGAAACAATGCAAGCCAGGAAACATGTAGCAACATCTTTATCAATGAGAAATAAAAAAAACTATAAACCTAGAATTCTATCCCCAGTGAAAATATCTTTCAGAAACAAAGGTAAAATAAAGAAAATTTAAAAAGCTGATATAATTAATTATCAACAACATAAAAAATGTTAAAAGAAGTCCTATAATCAAAAGGAAAATGATACCAGATGTAAATCAGATTCTACACAGTGAAATGAAGAACACAAGAAATAGTAAATATACAAGAATATGTAAAAAATGCCTTTCTTGTTTTTTAATGAAGAAATAATTTAGAAGATAAGTTACTGTCTAAACAAGGAAAGAATAATGTATTTTGGTGTTGGTAACATATATCAACCTAAAAAGTATATGACAAAAATAGTACAAGTTCCAGGAGAGGGGAAATGAGAGTTTACTGTTTTAAGGTTATCATACTATATGCTAAGTAGTAAATATTACTTGCACATAGACTGTGATAAGTTACAGCAGTATACCATAAACCCTGAAGCAACCGTGAAAAAACAAAACAAAATAAATTGATACACTTAATAAGCCAATAAAGGAGATAAATGAAATCATAAAATATATCCAGTTAATCCAAATAAGGCAGAAAAAAGGGAACAAAGAACATATTGGACAAATACAAATAAATAGCAAGTTTTATACCAACCACAATAATAATCATATTAAATATAAATGGTCTAAACACATTTACTTTATTAATTATTTCAACAATAATTAAAAGACAAGAATGGTTAAATAGGATTAAATAGAAAGTTCCAACTCTATGGTTCTAATAGAAATCTACTTTATATATAAAGACAAATAGGTTGAGAAATAGAATGGAAAAATATGCTATGATAACATTAATCAAAAGGAAGTTAGAGTGGCTGTATCAACCTTAGACAAGATAGATTTTAGAGCAAAGAATATTAACAAAGATAAAGTGGGCCATTTAATGACAACAAGATCAATTCATCAAGAGGACATAAAAATCCTAAATGTCTGTGTACCTAAGAAAGCTTTGAAATGCGTGAAACAAAAACAGATCTGTAGGGAGAAATAGACAAATCCACAATTACAGTGGGAAGTTTCATCAATAATAGATAGAACAAATACAAAATCAGTTAGAATAAGGAAATCTTGACGATATTTTGACCAACATCACTTAATTGACATTTAAAGAACACTCCACCCAACGCAGCAGAATACATAGTTAATGTACATTCTTTTCAATGCATATGAAACATTTACCAAGATGGACCACATTCAAGACTATAAAGGAAGATTCAACGAATTGAAAAGGATTCAAATTATGTAAACTATGTTCTCTGGACAAAAGAGAATTAGATTATGAATCAATAACAGAAAGATACTTGGAAAACCTCCAGATACTTGGAAACTGTATAATACACTTTCAAGTAACCAAAGGGTGAAATAAATAAGACATCAAAAGAAAAATTGAGGTATTTTAACTTGAATGAAAATGAAATCATAACATATTCAAATTTGTTGAATATCCCTAAGGCAGTACCTACAAAGAAATTTATAGCCATAAGTGCTTAAACTAGAAAAGAAGAAAGTTTAAAAAGCAATGATCTAAGAAACCAGGAAAGGAAGAAATTACTAAATCAAAAGTTAGAAGAAAGGAAACAATAAAGATCAAGTGGAAATCAATCAACTATTAAAAATACATGATAGGGCAAATCAGAAAAATCAAAGGCTAGTTCTTTGAGAAGATTAATAAAATTAATGTCTCTATCCAGACTGATCAGCACAAAAAGGAAAGATGCAAGAAATTACCAATATCTAGAACAAGACAAGGGACATCACTACAGATTCTATACAAATTAAAAGAATAGCAAGGAAATATTATGTATAATTTTGTGGCAATAAATTCAATAACAGAACAAATGGGCACACTGAAGAAAGATTACCAAAGTTTATTCATGCATAGATAACCTGTACAGCTGTAAGTCTATCAGAGAAATTCTTTTTGTAGCTAAACACTCCCAACAGAGAATTCCAGGCTCAGATGACTTTACTGGCAAAATATATCAAATATGTATAAAAGATAGAATGCCAACTATATATAATCTCTTCCAGAAAAATGAAGCAAAAGGAATACTTCCCAACTCATTTTATGAGGCCAGTATTACTCTCATACCAAAATTAGAAAAAGAGATTATAAGAAATGAAACTACAGCCAATAGGTCTTATGAATAGAGATGCAAAAACGTTTAAAAAATTTTTTTCAAATTGAAGACACCAATATATAGAAAGCATAATACATCAAGATCAAGTGTGGTTTATCCCTAGAATGAGAAGTTAGTTTAACCTTCAGAAAATCTATCAGTGTAATTAACCCTATTAACAGATTACTAAAGAAAGATCATGGGATCATTTCAACAGGTGCAGAAAAAACACCAAACAAGATCCAACATTCATTCCTGATAGACATTCTCAGCAAACTAGGACTAGAAGGTAACTCACTTAAATTAATAAAGTGTCTATGAAAAACCCATACTTAATATCATATAGTAGTGAAAGACAGAATGCTTTCCCTCTAAACACAGGAAAGGATGTCTGCTCCTGTTCGTTATATTCAACACTGTCCTGGAGGTGTTAGCCAGTACAATAAAGCACACACACACAAATTAAATTTAAAAAGTATGGACACTAAAAAAATAAAGAAGTAAAACTGTCTTTATTCATAGAAAATATGATCCTCTAAATAGAAAACTATGAATCTAACAAACAGCAATTAGAACTAATAAGTGTGTTTAGCAAGATTGTAGGATATAACATCAATGTACAAAAATAAAGCTTTTTCTATATCCTAGCAACTAACAGTCAGAAATTATTATTTTTTTAAACCTGGGAAAAATTGGAGAAGCCTTAAATAAATAGAAGGAATATTATTTTCATGAACTGGAAGATTCAAAATCCCAACAAAGTTTTGGTTTTTTTGTTTGTTTGTTTTGCTTAACAGAAATTGGTAACTAATTTTAAAGTTTAGTGCAAGGAACTATAATAGGAAAATAATTTTTATTTATTTGTTTATTTTTGTGAGCAAGACTAGTCCTGAGCTAACATCCCACACCAATCCTCTTCTTTTTGCTGAAGAAGACTGGTCCTGGGCTAACATCCATGCCCATCTTCCTCTACTTTATATGGGACGCTGCCACAGCACGGCTTGACAAGCGGTGCATCTGTGCGCATCCGGGATCTGAACTTGCCAACCCCAGGCCGCCGCAGCGGAGCTCACTCACTTAACCACAACGCAACCAGGCCAGTGCCCAGGAAAATAATTTTTAAAAAGAAGAATATAGGTGGAGAAGTCACAATTCTTGGCTTCCAGAATTACTATAAAGATTTTCATAGGCATGAAATGTTTAACTAGTCTACTCAACAACAATAGTGGGATATGCAAGTTAAAAATAAAGTTAAGAAGGTAGTTGCTGCTATTTTTAATAACAGGCCTAAACCCAGAATGTTAGTTAACACTTTTTATATAAAAAGAAGCGCAACAAACACATGGCAATATTATCTATGTTTTTAAGAGTACATATGTATGTAAATGCGTAAAAATAGCTGGAAATATAAACTAGTAAAAGTTATAAGCTCTGAGGAGAGGGGATGGATGGATGCAAGTACACATATGAAAAGATGCTCATTCATTAGTCATTAGGTAAACGCAAATTAAAGCCACAGCAAGAAACCACTCCACACCCATTAGAATGACTAAAATTTTAACCCGGGAACACCAACTGATGGCAAGAATGCAGAGGAACTGTTACCATCACATTTCGTTGGTGGTGCAAACTGGAACAGCCACTTTGGAAAACTGACGTTTTTCATAAAGTTAAACATTCTCCGACCATATGATCATTGTTGTTACCACGAACAATAAGATTTCCAATAATTTTATTTATCTTTCATTAATATATTTCCTATATTTTCTACAATATTCCTGCACTAAATATATAATTAAAGTAATGACTACAAGTGTAATGGAGAGACTTTAGTGTAGGCAGAGGCAAGATGATGGCACAAAAAGAATGAAAGTTGAAAGGGGAGAAAACACTTTCAACTTATTGAAATTTCAGTGTGCAAAATTAAAGATCATGGTAGTAAACTTGAAAGAGAAATAGAGATTGTGGATTTGCATAAGAAGAAACTGCATTAACAATGATTTGTAAAGACAGACAATACATATAAGGAAAAAAGGGGAAAAAAATCTTGATGAACTGGGTGATGCAAGGCTGCGCACCACACAGAACTCAACATCAAGTTGAGGAGAGAGCTACATTACAGCCAAGCCAGTGAGGGACACTGAGCGTTTTAATCCAGCAGGAGGCTGTCAGCATCTCTCTTCTTTTGCTTGGCTCACATTTCCTCATTCTGAAAACTATAAGCATATGCTATAAGGAATCACAAACCTTGAACAGTGTTGGGTGGATGGAAGCAATAAGGCGCAAAATACTTGTTGTGTATGTAAGAGTGGCAACTGGACCCAGTGAAAAATTGATTTTAATCTTTTCAGCCAGTTGTGGGTTTATTGCAAATGCTGCAAAAGCTGAAAGAAAACAAGAGAAGCGACTAGTTTCCCAGGGTTCTCTCTTACTTCCAATTCGCATTGTCATTTGGCTAGTCCACCTAACATTATATAACATGGCTGTTACTTTTGCCATGTGTCCCAGACTGGTCTCCAGGGATATCCCTACAACTAGCCCTGCACATGGCCACCAGATTAATTTCTCTAAATCTCATTCAGTTTGTCTGAGTGGTTGCTGATTCCATAGCCTGACATTCAGTGACTCGTAGTGTTTTATTTCATTAGCCAACAATCTGGAAAAAATAAACCATTCCTCCTCCCATTGGCCAATTTTTCTTATACTTTCGGGATTCTAATTGGTACTTATATGCTTTCCTCTCTGGGCTGTTCCACCTGTTTTTTCTCTATTGATTACTTGGAATCTGGTTTACGTGTATTGAGGACCTAGATACATCCTCTACTATTTGGGCCTCTTTTCCAGAGAGGCTGAGCAATCTGCCTTCCAAAAGACCATCCATATTCAAAGCTCAGCTCAACATTCTTTTTTTTTCATAAAATCTTCCCTAATAACTACGTTGAAGGAGATGTCTCCTTCCAAGGCCACAGGATGACTTTCATGGCCCCAGACACTTTTGCCTTCATGGGACTCTTCCTCCACACACACAAAACAATGCAAAACCATATTTTGTGATTGTGTTGATATAAACACGAATATATTCTATGATAGATTATTTTCATTTTTTTCTGAATTTAAAAGAACTTAAATACTTTTTTGGTACCTAAAGTATCATGAACCCTAAGAACTTGGCCTCCCATGCCTAATGGGTTAGTCAGCAATCTCCTCTCTGCTCTCCTTTTTCCTGTCCACCCGACTGCCCTTAAGCCTTTTGTCAATGCTATTCCTTTTGCGATGGTTCTCCAAAAGTGGTGGTTTTGCCACAAAAAAGGGACATTTGGCAATGTCTGGAGATACTTTTGGTTGTCACGACTCCAAGGATGAAAGGAGGAGGATGTGCTATCTGAATCTAGTGGGTAGAGATCAGAGATGCTATTAAGCATCCTACTATGCACAGGGCAGTCTCCCACAGCAAAAATGTGTGGCCAAAATATCAGTAGAAATGAGAGTGAGAATTCTTGCCTTATTGGATTTTGAGCTTTGAGGAAATGAGATTTCTTTAGTATACAGTATGTATTGCAAATATCAGCCAGCCAAGTATATTTCAAATGGTAGGTACACTGCCCAGTTAAACAAATAAATATTTGAATTAATTAGAAATGTTTTCCTGGTGAGTTGAAAGGTCTGGAAGCATCTAATCTTTATTGGATTTTCAGTATAAAAATTAACACGCCTCATACCAGCCTAGAGCAATACCAGGCAATCCTCAAAGAAAGCTCACCGGGCAGCAGAATGTAACTTCTCAAAGAAGCCAAACTAACAAGGCTACAGACTTTTCATAAGAAGTGTCAACACACACAGCTTTCTAATAAGAAAGCACTATAAGGAAAAGAAAAAAAAAAACATGCCAGGTCCTCAATCTTGGAAATTCCAGGTGCAGAGAATCTCAGGTGAATCTAATACAAGCATCTTGTTAAAAGTGTGTGGTATGATTGGAAAGATGATGTTAATATATGATGATATCCAGTATTGTTGTTCATTTTAAAAAGATTATGCACTGATCTACCATAATAAAACAATTATCATTGGCTTTTAAATTTTGCTCCTTTTGTCTTATCTGTTTGTTCTGAATAATTATAGTGAATATGTGTGATTTCTAAAAATGAAATTTTTTTTAAAAAGAAATGTTTTCTTTGTTGTTTCTTAAAATAAGAATTATAGCACAATCAGATTCTAGTATTTCTTCGCATACCAATAAGGGCGCCCTGGGAGTAGCCCACATAATAAATTTGCTTTTGTCCTGTTTTCTTCACAATGAAATCAATGGTGGCTGGCAGATCATATTTCACCATTTCATCAAAACTGCATGAAACAAAAATGGATACAACTTGTTTTAATTCTTTTTAGTAGTAATAAAGTTATTTTCATGTTTTAAACTATGGACTTAAAGAACCCCTCTAAAGGGAGACTTGGGTAGTAGGAGCTAACATTGATTTAACACTTTCCATATGTTAGCTGCTACTATGCTACCTGCTTCTAAGTACCACTTTATTCAATACTCACAAAACACCTTTGAGATAAGTTTGTAACTATGCACATTGTAGAGCTGGGGAAACCGGAAACGTGCCTGTGATCCTAGCCAATAGCTGATAGACTAAATTTCAGAGTACTCTTGTTCTAGAGGCCAACTTCTAAGACACTACATTATATGGCTTTCCCATAAAGGAAATATGAGCAATATACTGTTTAAAACTGGGTAGCAGATGAAATAGTTGCTCAACTTACAAAGATGAAAATAGGAAGTTTCTTTGTTTAGGCAAATGGACAAGGGCAAATGCCATGTTATTCCACTGCTCTGTGACACAGAGCAACCATGTGCATTTTACCCTGTCTTCTCCCCCCTCCTCCATTCTTTCTTTTTTCTGAAAACAGCAGGATTCACACTCAAAGTCAAAGGAGTGGATGGATTGGCAATGTATTAATGTTTGGGAAGCTGGGGGAAGAACAGGAAATAATGTGTTTTTCATATATTTTCTTCCATATTTTAGGCACATTAAGAACAATATAGAGCAATTTTTCCATTTAAATCTTAACTATTATTCAACAGTGACATATTTAACAAAATACCTTCATTCCAATTCTGCAAATTTATTTAAATATTAATAATATAAGAAACATTTAACCCATTTTTAAGTCAAAATAAGACAATACAGATTTTTTTCCCTACCTGAAAGCCCAGAATTCTTTGAAATCTGTTTCCAGGTACAAGTGTTTCCTGGAGAACCTATTTCCTCTGCTGTTTCCCAACCAAACATCATAACCAGCATCTGCCAGAACAGAGCCCAGGCTGCTGTTGGGAGGATTCAAAATCCAGATATTGGAACTTAATAGCACATCATGCTATAAATACACAATTGGCTTTTGGACTGAAAAGAAATCATGGAAAATATTTTATAACAGAAAAGTCCACTGCAAATTACAACACAGGTTTTCAAACTACCGTAATACAGTCAGGACTATTTGGCTTGTATCCCAAAGAAACGTGCTAACAATTTATTACATTTATTTTACAAACAAATATTATTCCATAATCCACAGGGCAGAAGAATTTCCACATCCTTTTCTTGCCCCACCTCCTCAACTGTAAATTTCCTTAGTGGATGTTTTTAATTTCTATGATTTATAAGTTATATTCTTTTTAAGTAAAGAGTTTATGCTTCATGAAAAGCAAAAGAGAAATAACCAGAAACAGAAATGCTTTGGGCCCCCCAAAATTCATGTGCTTATTATTAAAGAAAAAGGTTATGCTCCTGAACTTGAATAGCATCTGCATCCTCTCAGTTCTTGGGCAGAAAGGAGGAGTGAACCAGATCTCTGTTGTTACACCATCAAGAGCAATTATGAATACTTCCTTCAGCAAACTGAAGCATCCCGGAGAATAATGTGGTTGAAAGTTCTGTGGCTTCTATTCAGGGACTCTGAGTTCCCACCCAGTGCACCAAATAAAATTCATGGGCCAATATATGCTCCACTTTCTCATCACAGAAGACAATATAAATCAGGTGTCACTCAGACCCTCAGCTTTATCTCAGAGAGTCAAGGAGATGCTAGGGTTTTTTATGGGTAACTTAATCTCATCTTCTCTGATTAGAAGGTATTTGACTAGAATGTATTTGATTCAGGACTTGAAAGTTTCATTTTTTCCCCGTCATTCCAATCCTACCTAAATGATTAGCGTCATTCTTTCCATGAGGAATTCGGTAGAGTGGAAGGGTGTAACCATCTGCGGTTATAACTTCATGCATTTCATGTGGGTAACCCCAGTAGGAAATCATCTGAGTCTGAATGGAGAAAAGACAAAACATTATCAGCTTCATGAATTCACTTGGCCATTTCTATGCTTCTTAAAGTAGAATTTCTTATTGGTTGGGGTAACATATGCTATGTAAAGCGAGCTTTCAGATCCTAATAATAAAAGAAATTTTAAAAGAATGAATGAAAGTAATAGTGCCAAAGTTTCTGGAAGTGTGCTTTTTTTAATTAGTGATGAGAATAACTTACAGTATTCATATTGGCTTCAGGATTCACAGGTTTTTTTCCAAGCAAACAAAATGCATTTCCAACCATCTGGATCAAGCACACTGTTGTAAGTAGCCACCACATTTTGAACCTACTAGGGGGAAAAGTTATTAGCATAATGCAGTAAATGTTACAATGTAAAGTCTTGTTATTGGCTGCCTTGCTATTTGCTTCACAGATTTTCTATTTGTCACCTTATCCTCTGGTTTTCCCTGTGTCTTATTGCCTTATCTGTTAGACGGTTTTACAACACTTCTGTTATTCTGGTCATTTCCTTTCAGTTGCGTACGTGATTCTATTTTTTCAAAGGTCCTTTTATCTGTCAACCTACCCTTGTAGACTTGATGTCAGGGCTGCCATTTAATAACTGTTATGGGTTGAACTGTGTCTCTCTGCTGCTCCTTGCCCCCAAAAAGATATGTTGAAGTTGTAACACTCAGTACCTTAGAATGTCACTGCATTTGGAAAGAGGGTTATGGCAGGTTATTTAAGTTAAATTAAGATTATGTAAATTAAGATGAAGTAATACTGGAGTAGAATGAGCCCCTAATCCTATATGATTGTGTACTAATAAGAAGACTGCCATGTGAAGACGCACAGGGAGAATGCCATGTGATGACGAAGGCAGAGATTGGAACCACAGCTGCAAGCTCAGGAATGGCACAGATTGCTGGCAAGTCACTAGATGTTAGGAAGAGGCAATGAAGGTTCCCCTACAGGTTTCAGAGGGAGCATGGCCCTTCAAACACCTTGATTTCAGACTTATAGCTTCCAGAACTGGTATAATTTTTGGTTATTTTAAGCCACCCAGTTTGTGATACTTTGCTATGACAGTCCTAAGAAACTGATACACCATCTGTTGGAAAAAGGAAAGAAAATTAACACCTGGACTGATCTTTATTGAAATTGTTAATAATAAAACAAGGCAGTCCGTGATTTACTGTCTGTTTTGTATGTGAGAACTTCCTTTAATCACCTCAAAAAGGTAGACCAAATGTTACACAAACATTGACAATAGAGGAAAAGTTTAGATTCAAAGATGACCTATTAAATGCCCTTTTGTTCACTCACTGTACTACACTTGATGCATACTGCTTAATCAGTGACCATTGCTCTATTTCAAAATTATAGGTGTCCTGATTCCTCTCCATTCCTACTGCAAAGATCTACACCAACTCTTCCCCTCTCCCTAATGGATGTTATTCCTAAGGGATGCCTGCACTAACACAACCCCCCCTCTCACCTCCACCTTGGAAATGCTCCACTGTCTCCCATTTCCAGCCCCCAAAATTTTCTTAAAGTTGCAGACTTTTCGTTTGCATATCCAAAGTATCCTGTAGTTTCCATGGCCGCAGTCTTCAGCTCTAACCTTGCCACACTCATTCAACAAGAAAAAGTTGAGCCTGAGGGATACATAAAGGAATGGAATGTTCTCTGCCTTCAAGGTGCTAACAACCTAGTGATCCTTCAGCAGTAACAGCTCCTTCTACTTGCTTTCTTACCTCTCCTGCCCAGGCACTTCTCAGTCCCTTCTACTTCTGGTCTACTCAGGGCCTATGTGCTTGCCCTTAAAATCCCATAGGTAAGCTGAAGCTTTAGACCTAGTTAAATAGAAAGATGACTGGGTAACAAGATAGTAACAGAGCATCTTGCTCAGTCCCTGGCTCCCTAGGCATTTGCTGCTCAATAAATGAAAATTAATATTATTAGTAGTAGTAGCATCTTCAGATCCAATAAGTCTCTTTGCAATAGCTCCAGACCTTCTAAAGAAGAACTAAATTGAAATTAAAAATAACTGACTCCACTATTATTCCTAAGAGCCAGCTATCTGTCCCTGATCTTTTCATCAACAATTAAATAATAAAATTCATTCTCACTAGCTGTATGAATCTCATCAGAGGCTCCTTAGGACTTTCCCTAAAGGACCAAAATTAGTGTATGTCATTTTGACCAAAGACTGTAGAGTCTTTTGTAATTTTATTTATTTATTTATTTTTTCCCCCAAAGCCCTGGTGGATAGTTGTATGTCATAGATGCACTTCCTTCTAGTTGTTGTATGTGGGACGCAGCCGCAGCATGGCAGGAGAAGCGGTATGTCAGTGCACGCCCGGGATCCGAACCCGGGCCGCCAGCAGCGGAGCACGTGCGCTTAACTGCTAAGCCACGGGGCCGGCCCGAGTCTTTTGACCAAAAACTATAAAAAGCTCAATTCAAAGCCCTCAGATTTCGACTAGGAGAGAAAGCAGAAGAAAAGGTAACAAGTAGGGGTGAGAATGGCAGAGCAAAAGAGAATAAATGTTCATATGATACTAGAATTTGTGAACTGTGAGGGACCTAATCTGCTCAAAACTACCAATCTGGCCTTGTTTGATAACTATAAACTCCGCAAGCATCCATTAATGTTATTTGAATTACTAAAATAAGTGAATTTTTCCAAAAGACTGCACATAACATTGTTAATAAATACTGAATATATTTTCAACCTGCTTGCCATTTCCCATAGAGATTCTAATTAGAGTGCCATCAACAATATTGATTTGAGAATCACGTAGATTTCATTTCAAATTAGAAATTGCATCACTGAGGAGATAGAGTCCAGTGGCAATGTGGTCTGCTCCTGTTGCACATTCAAGACATTGCTTATTCTTTCCTTTTTTCAAATTCCCTGAAATCAAGACCCCAAAGAAGTAGAAAAAGGGGAATAAACTTCCTAGAAAAAAATCTTTATTTACAATATAATCAAAGTTGTAAATTTTAATGGAGAATTATACTTTACCTAAGGTAGAAATAAACTTCACATATAAATATATTAATTTTGAAGTATAATAAATAAACTTTATAATGTAGAAAGAGTCATACTCACTGTCACTAAATATACATGCTTTCTGCTTTCTGGAAGGTAAATGAAAAAATTAATTCTCTTTTTCCTTCTCTCTCTCCTTGTTTATATATATATATGGTGTACATAGGTGTGTTTTGGGTGACCTTTCCTAAAAAGTGTATAGTGGTTGCATTTACAGTGAACTCTCATATTTGCCAAATGGCAAGGCAAATATTGCATAAGCAGTCAACTCACAAAAGGATATCATTCCAAAACATCCTCAGAGAGTCATTCTCTTTGATTCATTAGCTTCTGGAACTCTGCCTCCCCATGTCCTCACACATCCTTATTCTCTGTCCACGTCCTCATTCTACCTCCCCACATCCTCATTCTCTGAGTGTTCCAGACTCTAGCTATCATCAAATCTTTCCCCAGCCTTGGGTAGGAGCACTTTAACTCATGAACATGTGCATTTATCTTAAAACAGTGAGTACGACCCGCTGGAATAGTTTTCAAAATTTGGGGGAAAAACATTTTTTAACAAAAGATTTTGATAGCTGTTGTAGCTAGAGTTATAACACGACTTACCAAATCTTGCATATGTGAACAAAATCAAGTTTTATATATTGATTTATTGAAATTTTATTTTATTGTGGTAAGAACGCTTAATGTGAGTTCTACCCTCTTAACAAAATTCTAAATATACAATTCAGCACAGAGACAGCACTGGCAAACTCTTACCCTCTTCAATCTGTCTAAACTCATATATTTCGTTTTTCCAACGGGTGTCCTGAAATCTCCCTTCTGAATGGCTGGACTTCTACAAAGTCTTTCTCATCCTCGGGTGCCTGCCCAAGTCAGCATTCCGCAGGTTTCCTCCACCGCGGCTGAGAGGGGTTGGGGCTGGTGCGCTGGCTCCTGCTAGTTCCGCAGCCCTATGGAGGTGTGTAAACCTGTTACCAGATGCACACTTGGGCGAGACTTCTCCCAGGTCCCTTGGCATATGGTACTGGATCCTACAACTCCCGCAGTGGTATTTCTGTTTCTAGAAGGATGCCGATTTTTAGTTGTTAAGAAGGGGGACAAAAAGGACAGACATCTTACACCAACTTGATGCTGACATCACCAAAATGTCGATTTTGATCATCATCAAAATGTCGATTTTCCTCTGATTTTTCTATATATTCAATGCAATCACAGTAAAAATTCCAGCAGACTTTTTGGCAGAAGTTGACAAGCCTATAATATAATTTATATCAAAGGCAAAGGACCTAGATTATTCAAAGAAAATTTAAGAAAGAACAAGTTGGAGGACTTCTCCCTGATTTCAAGACTTAATCAAGTTACTATAAAGTTACTATAATCAAGAGAGCATGGTAAACCAAATGTAGTATATCCATACAGTGAAATTCTACTCAGTAATAAAAATGAGCAAACTACTATTACATGTAACAACATAGATGAATCTCAAAATCATTCTGTGAAGTGAAGAAAGAAAAAAGCATCAAAATCAGAAAGGAAAAAGTAAAACTCAATATTTGCAGATGACATGACGTTATATATAGAAAATCCTAAAGGCTCCACCAAAAACCTATTAGAACTAACAAGAAAATTCAGTCAAGTTGCAGGATAAAAAAATCAATATACAGAAATCTGTTGCATTTCTATACACTAATAATGAACTTTCAGAAAGAGAAATTAAGAAAACAACCCCATTTACAATTGCATCAAAAATAATAAAATACTTAGGAATAAATTTAACTTAGGAGGTGAAAGACTTGCACAATGAAAACTGTAAGGCACTGATGAAAGAAATTGAAGACACAAATAAATGGAAAGATATTTTGTACTCATGGATTGGAAGAATTAATATTGTTAAAATAGCCATACTACCCAAAGCAACATACAATGTAATCAATGCAATCCCTATCAAAATTCCAATGGCATTTTTCACAGAAATGGAACAAACAATCCTAAAATTTGTATGGAACCACAGAAGACCACAAATAGTCAAAGCAATCTTGAGAAAGGAGAACAAAGCAGGAGGCATCACAATTCCTGATTTCAAACTCTATTACAAAGCTATAGTAATCAAAATAGTATGGTATTGGCCTAAAAACAGATGCATACGTTGATGGAACAGAATAGAGAGCCCCAAAATAAACGCATGTATACATGGTCTACTAATTTATGACAAAGGTACCAAGAATATACAATGGCGAAAGGATAGTCCCTTCAATATTTGGTGCTGGGAAAATTCAAC